ATTTTCAAACGATTGTCTTCTAACGGGGCGCGTCCCTGTGAAACCGAACCTGTGCAGGCGGCCTGCAAGCGGGATTTCGGAGGGAGGGTGTAATTATTGCAATATCGATTCTGAGCCTTGAGTTTGCACTGGCCGTTCCTCCTCCTCCTCCTCCTCCTCCTCCTCCTCCTCCTCCTCCTCCTCCTCCTCCTCTCCTCATCATCATCGGCATTGTCCTCCTCCCCCTTCCACGCCGCCCCCCCCCCACCCCCCCCTTCCTCCTCCTCGCCTTCCCTCCTCCCTCCTCCTGCCCGTCTGATGAGGAAGAGGAAGGAGAGGAGGAGGAGGGGGAGGAGGAAGAGGAGGAGGAGGAGAGGGAGCAGGAGGAGGCGAAGGAGGAGGAGGAGGGGAGGAGGAGGAGGAGGAGGAGGAGGAGGAGGAGGAGGAGTGAGACGTGAGGAGTGAAACGTAGGAGGAGAGACAGAGGACGAGGAGGCGGAGGGAGGAGGAGGAGGAGGAGGGGAGGAGGGGGGAGGAGGGAGGAGGAGGAGAGGAGGAGGAGGAGGAGGAGGAGGAGGAGGAGGGAGGAGAGGAGGAGGAGGAGGAGGAGGAGGAGGAGAGGAGGAGGAGGAGGAGGGAGGAGGAGGAGGAGGAGGAGGAGGAGAGTAGGAGGAGGAGGAGGAGGAGGATGGAGGAGACGTGAAAGGGGGGGGGGGGGGCGGGGGGGAAAGGGGGGTGTAATGAAAAGAGAGGGGGCGGTGGAGCAGGATGATGAAGAGGGGGGTGAAGAAGACTCCTTTTCCTCCTCCTCCTCCGCCTCCTCCTCATAATCATCATCACCCTCCCCATCCTAACCAATATCCTTCTCCTCCCGCTCCTTACGCTGTTTCTCGCCGCTCATGCTGCTCCCCCTCATGCTCCTCCTCCTGCTGAGACTGCTGCTGCTCCGCCTCCTCCTCCTCTTCACCCTCCTCTTCCTCCTCCTCCTCCTCCTCTTCGTCATGTGTCCTTTGCATGTGCTACTGGTGCGCACTGTTCTCCTTGACGTTGAGCCTTTCATTGCTGGTACTGGTGCCGAGGCTCCTCCCGCTGCATCGCGGTTCCTTTGACTTTGCTGCTGGTGCGCAAACTCCTTCTAATTAGTGAGCCTCCCATTGCGGGTGTTGGTGCTGATGCTCATCCTGCTGCACCTCCTCTCCTTTCTCCCGTCCTTTCTCACCAGCGCCCCTCCTTACCCATCACTCTCACTCCTCCTCCTCCTCCTCATCCTCCTCTTCCTCTTACTCCTCCTCCTCCTCCTTCTCATGGCCCTCCCCCTCCTATGCTTCCTCGCGCCCCCTCATCCCCTGCCCCCCTCATCGTCCTCACTCCTTCTCCTCATCATCTTCCTGCTCCCTCCCCTCCTCCTCCTCCCCTCCTCCTCCCTCCTCTCCCTCCTCCTCCTCCTCCTCCTCCTCCTCCTCCTCCTCCTCCTCCCTACTCCTCCTCTTCGCTCCTCCTTCTCCTCATCGTCTCACCCCTCCTTCTCCTCATCGTCTTCACCCTCACCCGTTCATCGAGAACGCGAACAGCAGGAGGAGCCAGAGCAAATGAGGAGGATGAGTGAGGAGGGGGAACAGGAGGGGGAGGAGGAGGAGGATGAGGGATGCTGATGATGATGATGACGGCGAGGAGGAGGAAGAGGGAGGAAGGCGGACGAGAAGGAGAAGGAGGAGGATACCGATGGGGGAGTTAAAAGAGAAGGAGGATGATAAGGATGCCGAGTGAATTTAGAAGGAAGAAAATGAGGAGGGGGAGTAGGAGGAGGGGAAGGGAAGGACGAGGAGGAGGAGGAGGAGGAGGAGGAGGAGGAGAGGAGGAGGAGAGGAGGAGGAGGAGGAGGAGGAGGAGGAGGAGGAGGAGGAGGAGGTGGAGGAGAGGAGGAGGAGAGGAGGAGGAGGAGGAGGAGGAGGAGGAGGAGGAGGAGGAGGAGGAGGAGGAGTAATAACAACCATGAACAGGGAACATGAATAAGGAGGCGGAGGCGGGAGGAGGGGGGTGAGGAGGGATAGTATCAGAAGGAAGAAGAAGCGGAACATGAGGTGGAGGAGGAAGAGGCGGAAAAGGAGGAGGAAAACGGAGCGGTAGCGAAGACAAAATATTTTGCTGCTGCTCACGATGATGATGACGGTTCTGATGGTCATGGTAATGAAACGGGGGAGGATAGAGAGGCGGAACAAGAGGGGGAGGAGGAGAAGGGGGATTTTTTGGATGAGGAAAACGGAAATGATATGAATTGTGGCAGACGAGGGGGAGCAGGATGATTGAGAAGGATGATGCGCAGACGTAGCGTCTATTGATGTGGTACAGATGGATAAGAAGGGGATGACGGCGAATACGATTAAAGATGATATGTATGACCTTGATGGGGAGAGAAACCATAACCACGTACGAACTCAAGCCAATATAAAAATGCAAGCCATGTGTGGCGAAACCAAGACAAATAATCAGCACGACTGGCAAGCGACGCCTTCCTCCGGGACACCCCCAACCACCGGGACCGCAACCCCAACGAGTCAGGCCCGACCGCAGCGACGAGAGCACATGAGCCAGTGCACTAAAGGTCTCACTTGCCGATTGTGCAGCCAGTGGTGGGTCAATCGCTGAGACTACACTTTAGGGACCAATGATGGCTTGACAGCGCACCTGGCTTCCCCCTCTCTGCGTTTCCCTCCCACTCTTCCTCCAGCGTATACCGACTGGTGGCAACTAAAGAAGCACGGGGCACGCAGCATATTCGTTGAACTGTGCTGATCGCAGCGCCAGTGCAAACAGAGCGGCCATGTGCCGAAACCGCAGCGGCGGCCGTGATGCTCAAATCAAAGAGGGAAAACTTGTGAGGATGAGGGGCGAAGGGAAGGAGGCGGGAGCAGGATGCGGACGAAGACGAGGGGGACAAGGAAGGGGAGGAGAAGGACTTAGGATTGCGAGGGGTGGGAAACACTAAGAATGATTTGAAGCAGGAGGAAGAGAGGCGTGAAGCGGAGAGAGGGAGGAACAAACAGCAGGATGAATGAGGAAGGATGAAGAGCACGTCGGGGAGTGGGAGGGGGAAAGGATGGAGGAGGGGGATCAGGAGGAAGGACAACAAGCAGGACAAGGGCAGACGGAGAAAAAGATAGCAGGGGGACTGATGATGGAATAATGAATTGAGGAGGGTGGAGGAAGAGGACGGGGAGGACCAGCGTAAGCGCAGGATGTGTCAATTCTTGTTTCCTTGTTCTCCAGCGTAATTTAAGAGGGAGGGGACGGAAAGGACAGCGCCTCGACATGACACCTCCGTGACGCCATCATGGGAGCACCGCCGACGCAATCGAAACAAGGGCATGGTTAAACAACCCTGCCGCCAGACCGTTCTCGCCCGTTCCTCCCAGGTGGGACGAGGACGCAGACGGGGAGGGAGGAGCAGGAGGAGGAGGAGGGAGGAGCAGGAGGAGGAGGAGGAGGAGGAGGGACGAGGAGGGAGGACGAGGAGGAGGAGCAGGAGGAGGAGGAGGAGGAGGGACGAGGAGGGAGGAGCAGGAGGAGGAGGAGCAAATGCAAGCCAGCGGTACTCTAACCATCTGGTGATAACGTAAAACCCAAGCCCCCATCATGCTGGTAGGCGACCGGAGGAGAACTGGACGGGAGACGAATCCGGGAAGCATCTTGGAAACTTCCCCCGCCTCAGATGTGTTGAATATGCTGCAGCACAATGCGGGCGCGGCCGCAAGACACCCTCGCAAGAAACCCAACCCTGAAAACCAGCGCGAGCTGCACCTCAGGAAGGCACGGAGCACCCTGAACGCATCAGCGTCTCTGACGGCCGCGGGAAGTCACCGCGCAGCGCGCGGAGCGAAGAAACCCAGGGTACCCCGACGAGAAATAAATGGTTTCTTGATGCGCGCCCCCACCGTGCACCATGCCAAGTCCCCTTCTCCTCACAAGTCCCTGCACGCTTCCATTTCCATTGCGGGAAACGCCCCTGTGAAAGACGAATGCATTAAAGGCCTATCGTTCAGGCGCGAACCCAACGGTACAAATAAAGTTCACTGCGTATATACTCCTAGCTGTACGGGGTGCGAACAGACAGGACAATACACTTCGAGGGATCATCCTTCGAGAGCCCCGCTTTGTAAAGGGGCCGCGTTCCATCCGCACATGTGTTGAGAATGTCCAAATTCTGGCCATGATTTGGTAGGGCTTCTCTAGCGAGAACCCTGTTTTTTGAAAAAAGCTCCCCCCCATCGTCCTGGCTGTTTGACAAGCTTACGCTTCAGATCATGGTTTACAAGGAAGTCTTAGGCGATAACCCTGTTCTTAAAACGAGCCGCCGTTAATTCTCGCAGCTGTTGGGAGCTTGCAAGACGAGCGTGCGCGGCGCTAGAAAGAACACCACACTTCGAAACCCACTCGGCCTCCCTGTAGTTGCTGGAAACTTCTGCAACGAAGGTGCGCGGCGCTGGAGCGAGATCCACACTCTTCACGACAACCGCCCTACCTCCCTATGACTGTTGTAAGCCGAATGTGTGCGGAGACCGGCAAGAGCCACTCTTTGAAATCGACCCGCCGTCCATTCTTGTAGCGGTTGGGCATGTTTGAGAAATATGTGCGTGGTGCTCGAGCACAAGCCACATTGTGAAACCGATTCGCCCTCAACCTTAGTAGCTTTGGGGAGCTCTTAGGCCGAGTGCGGGACATTGAAACCAGAACCACATTTCGAAAACGAGTCGCCATCCATCTGTAACAGGCGGATCTTCAACCACCGTGGTCATAACTGTGAACAGGTCTCCAGAGAAACGCCCGGGCCGCCCTGATGACTCGCTCGGTGGTGCGACGGGGGGGAGCCACTGTTCAAGAAAGAGGGATAGCGAAGGAGGAAGGGATGAACGGATGAGGTCTGAGGAAGAGGAAGGATGCCGCGTCGGGCCTCTGACGAAGCAAGCCGACGTGACACCAAGATATAAGGTTAGTGCGACTCCTTCTCCGGCAAAAGGTCGCCCTCACTCCTTCGAGGCAGCCGCGAGCTCCTGGTGCCCCGCTCACGCGCGCTGCAGCCCGCTCGTCCTTCCTTTTCCTCTGCCGCCATGGGCGCCGTGGTGGTGCGGCAGTTGTGCTGTTTCTCATTGCACGAGGGGGCGTTCGTTGAAAGAGAGGTAATGGATCCTGTGCCTTTGTTGGAAGACATGCACATGGGTCCCGTGACCGCGTTGGACACAACTGTATCCGTGGGGCCCGGAAACAACGGTTGAGTCAGTGTAGCGTTTAGGGCATCTTCGGAACACCATCCGAATAATGTCTAGGCTGCGGCCACAATCGCACTAAACAAGGACATGGCACATAATGTGAAAAAGCACGAGTGGTGGCGGTGAAAACATGTGTTCGGTATCACAAACTCCTTGTGCCGATATGTCGCTTTCAACAACTTTCGGCGAGAACTCTAACGTGATAATAGTCACAACATGTTCCTAATCATCCGGGCAAACGCGCACCGTGCATCTGAAAGAAGTGGTATGACAACACACAACCATCTTGGCTGACGGGGACCGTATCATCTTGGCTGGGCATCGCAAAGTCGCGTGCTCAGGGGGAGGGGGCTCGCGTGGGGCCGCGGCATCCGCGGGGAATGCCGCGACCGCGATGGCGGCGTGGCGTGCTGGCGCATCCAGACGACTCCGTAGAAGTCTCGAGCGACTCTGAGGAGCCCTCCTCCATGGCATTTTCCTCATCGTCCTTCTTCTCTTCTTCTTCCTCCTCCTCCTCCTCATTGATTTTTCCTCGTTCTTCTATGAAAGCGCCGCTGCCGCCAGCTGGGCCGCTTTCCGATGGTGCCGAAGCAGCTCGAGACATATACATATACACATATATATGTATTGTCATGCGCACCTCGCCAAGGGAAGAAAGCCCAGAGACGATTATTGGTGAAGCCGTCCCGTCCGCACATGTTCTGGCCGTTTCGCTTGGACATCTTCAACATCTTGAGATTCGGACGGGTCCCTAACGCGTATCGAGACGTTGGTGCCAAACGCACATCGACGACTTCCAACCTGTGAACACCAAGCCTTCAAGCCAAACCCGATTTCAAGAACGTTGCGCATGCTTGTTAGAAAGACGCTGGGTGTTCAACAGCTCCCCCTGCAGTTCTGCAACCTTGTAAAAAAAACCTCCTAATATACAGCGGAAGAAAATAGTTTTGCACATGCGTGATAATATATATATGTTTTCCTGTGGATCTACCGGGTGACGTTCCCGGACTCTGCTCCAATCTAGGTTGTTGCTGTACTCTCCTGCTCCTGCCCCCGCCTCAACATCCAATTTCCTTTCGTCCCCTCGTCCTCCAGCTCGTCGTCGTCCTCCTCTCCCATCTCCTCCTCGCCCTCCTCCGCCTCCTCCTCGTCCTCCTCCTCCTCCTTCTCCTCACTCTCCCTCCTCCTCCTCCTCCTCCTCCTCCTCCTCCTCCTCCTCCTCCTCACTCTCCCTCCTCCTCCCCCTCCTCCTCCACACTCCCCTTTCCTCCTCCTTCCAGCCAGCATCCCTCTCACCCTCCCGCGACCGACAGACACGACAGCGTGAACGATGATAAGCAAGCATGACCAGGAGGGGGACGAGGTGAAGGACGAGGCGGCAAGGCGTGCTTCCTGGCCAGAACTTCAAATGGAATCCAGCCGCGGCCACGAGGGCACCCCAGGAGGCCCCCCCTCGAAACGCCAGAAATTATACGTCTTCGAACCAAGGATTGCAAAAAACGAAGGACTGCAAACCTTCGTTTCAGAAATCAAACGTCCTCGAACGAGGTTTTTTTTGTTTTTTTTTTGTTTTGCAATCCTTGGTTTTTTTTTGCAATCCTTCGACCCCTTATCTTCGAGCCTCGATGCCTGCGAGGGCGGCAGAGGGGGCTCCAGCGCAGCGCCCCGCTCCGCGGTCTGCCCGCCACCCGCCCCGCGACCCCTTCCCCCTGGGACCAGCACTCCGCCCCGAGCCGCTGCTGGACGGCCCCGAGGCCAGGCAACAGCCCCCCCCGAGGCGAAAGATGCGCATGGATCCCCCGCCGTAGCCTCTGCGCAACCAGGGGAGGTCCTCGCGCGCGCCGCATCGCCGAGGCATCGGCGACGCGCGGGCGACGCCAGCGTGGAGAACGCATCGGGCCCCGCATCGCGCTGCATCGGCGATGCGGCGCCTCCGACCCCGCCTGTTCGCACCCCACTCGGGAGGCCCGGGCCTCACGCGGAGGTCCGAGCCCCGGGCCGCCCTCTCTCGGGGGCGCGGGCCTGCGGAGGGCCGCGTCGGACCTCCCGAGGGCCTTGGGTGCTGCGCGACCGCCAGGGGCGCCCCCTGGCCAAAGGCCGTTGAAGGAGGAAAACGAGGAAAGATGATGATGATGATGAGGAGGAGGAGGAGGAGCAGGAGGAGGAGGAGGAGGAGGAGGAGGATGAGGAGGCGGAGGAGGAGGAAGAGGAGGAGGAGGAGGAGAAGGAGGGGGTAGAAGAGCGCCGCAACAAGAATATCCATAACAACCGCAACAAAGGGCTACGACACGACGCAGCTACTATACCCGTTGCCATACCAGCAGGCTGCAGACGTCAACACGACCAACGACCTGCCATCGACGCACCATCGACCACCACGACAACCATCTACACACCCAACAGGACACCACTTTGCGGCAATCCAGCACAACCAGCTTACATACTGTTTCTGTCCCAACACGCGAGGCATACACAGGACTTGCAACACCACTCAAAGACCAACCACACCACACAGCACGACACCTGCATCAGCATAGGACTGAACGAAGTAACAACCACGGACCTGGCACACCACAGAAACATGGATGGCCACCATCAAACAAGGAACGGTAGCAGCAACCATCACAATCAACGACGACACGGTTGGATACAGCACCGACCAACATCACAGCCCAGGCCATCACTGGGGCGCTCAACATCGTCCTGCATCCCAACTACACAGGACGCGCAAACACAACCTCAACTTACAAAACACCACAATACTATTGTCAATCGCACTCACCGCGTCGACACAACAGCCGTCATGCTGACCAAACAAGAAGAGCGCCGAACACAACACATAATCTGGAGCATATCCCAACTGAGACACCTGTACTTCAAGGCACAGCGCTCAACCATAGGACTCAGCACCATGGGCAGCAACACTCGTAACACTACTCACGTGACCGTATGGCATCTACCAGAACTAGCACAACACATACGACAACGGCACAAACAACAGCATCTGTGAGTGCCTTACAGACGACATTAACCCAATCGAGATAGTAAAAGGCAACTACAACATCCCAACACCACTGTGTCAGATCATCACCAACATCATAGCTACGACTATGGCACGATACCCAACTCCGACAACACTTATTGGGCTCATACCTGTAGCAACACATGCCAACAAGACAATTGCGACAAACTTAGCACCACGAGCACACCTACGCAGCACATGGCACATACCACGCCCAGAACACGACAGCACCAGGGGAACGCCTCATACCCTGCATGGAAGCCCAATCGGGCACACCTGGGATCGAGGCACGAGCAGTCTAGACAGTATTTGAATTACCAGATGGATTGCTGCGCATGCAGATATGAATACAAGACTGGCCCATTGACTGAGGAACAAGTTGCGCTCACTCGCTTCTCCCTGTACCGGTACCTCATCATTCGTACCATTTTGTGTTGCGCTCGCCGACATACGTCACCATGCGACGAGACATAGCCCCCGTGCACCTTTTCGACATACACGCGGCGGTACTTCAGGCACGCACACGACCAGACTCTCTCACACGCCTACTTCGTGGGGGCGGTACATGTGAGAAAAGGCTTATGGACATGCCAGCCACAAAGCACTCTCGCACGCCCACCCACCCAGCGTGCCAGGAGTCTGGGAGCACGGGTGGACGGACGGGCACCAAACAGCATGCAACATACACATCGCCATACAATTGCACGGACATTCGGGCATTGTGACTGTGAACAAAGTTGTGCGCCCACATGTGTGCCCTGATGCCGGGCTATTTCAGACTTTTGCCGACGCAACAGGGCGCGGCAGATGTGCAGCTCTATTGTCATGCAATACTTGCAGCATGTACTGTCGACAGGTTGGTTCTACTCTATGCAGCACGCCGCGCCATGGAACACATCCAGCACGCCGACGCAGCACGCCAACTCTTAGCCGTACATGGCAGAAGTCCACGTCGTCGTCCAGGACAAGAGCAGACAAGTGCCTGTACCATACCTGGAAATGGAGCCAGACGGCACACCTCAGGGAGGGGCAACATGCCACGCAGCACAGACGCGCACAGACCTACGCTCACTCGACCAGACGACGCGACAACATCGGTGACGCCTCATATCCTGCATGGGAGCCCGGTAGGGCATACCTGGTGGAGAGGCAAGGCCAGTGTTTCAATCAGTACAGTCTTCAGATCGAGACTTTTCTCCAAGACCAATGCCTACAAATCTCTATGCTGTCTTGACTGATGCCCGTTGCCAGGATGTACTGCGGAGGTTTGATGCTCTTTCTGCGACAGGTCAGGTCCCCTAGTACATGATAATCCATGCACAGAGAGCTATGCCAAAGGATGCTCAAAGCAACGCACCCCGACACGCCTGCATAGCTGGGATTGGCACGCGGACGCGGTATGTACTGGCAGCTCAAGCCACACGGCCTTACACGCCTACGTTGCCGACAGCGGACTCAGGGACCACGCGTCTCACGCGCCTCATACTGTTACGTACCCGTAGGCGAGACATCGAAAGTACGAATACACATGGTGCATAACTTGTCTACGCCATACTTTATTCGCAACACCAACCTATGTTGACAAATAAACGCTTATCCAACATGTATGATGATCCCACAGTGAGCTGCAATTAGCGTCATTTGACTGCGTTTTCCCACCGTGAGTGCCCATCGTACGTGCAAGAATCGCTGCTGTTGAATTTGGCATTCAGTACTGGGCGCAGCACCGCAACCCATCTCTGCTCCATCACGTGCAGCCGGC